AACTCCTAACACACAGTCCCTGTCTCAGACTTAACTTTCTGGGAGGTGCACAGGCTAAGACTGTTTGTAACAGAAGTGGCCTTAGCTAGCAGACCTTCAGAATGAAATTCTGGAACTGGATCAATCGTGGGGCAACTGGCAACAAGGACCCCGCTGCTGGTGGTAAGTGGGGTGGGAGGAAGCCTGGGGAGCTGCAGCAACACGGTCACAAAGCCTTTCTTCAGGGCTGGTTTTGAATGGGGTGCAGGTTTGCTTAGGCAATGCAGTGGCACATGAGCAGTATGGGGCAATGATCACTATGGGGAGTACTGAATAAGCTGGCTCTTAACACCTTTAAATCACTCAAAAAGAGAAAGAAAATGACAGGGTCAAGTTGGCCACCAACAGTCAACAGTGGGAGTCAAAAGTATTGCTGGCAGTATTTAGAGACATTTATCTCCTGCAGACAGGACAGACTGTGCCAAAAAATCAATCTCAGGACTTAAAGAGCAGCAGAGTTACAGAGGGGACAATATCCAGCCAAACAGGTCTCTCATGTCTAAGTCAGGACTATGGTGAGAAAAGAGAAGATTGCTGAGCTCTGGGATAGGGACATCTATGAGAAATAGCCTGAGAATCTGAAATTCTCAAATTTCTCTGAACCTACAGGGCTAGAAGTGACTCAGTTCCATTGCTGTAGGTAACCTGCTTCCTTTACCTGCAGACCCTAAAAATCCTTCAGGTGATGCAGGTGCCTCCATAGGAGGGGGAAGCCTGTCCTTAGATTCTATCCCCACCTCCCTCCAGGGTCCACGGACCTATAATAGGATGAGGATGTAGCATTGCCTGAGTAGGGCAATAAGGTTCTTGCTCTGGGAGGAAATAACTGCACTCAAGAATTACAAGACCTGCCTCATAGGGGCCAGCAGCAGTCTCGAGGGGGCTGGGCCATGGCAGTAGTGAAATGTAAGGCTGGAGAGGGGGATATTCACTGATATGGAAGCAGTGCACTGTCCCAAAACTTGGGACTTAAATTTTGACAAGGACACCTGCAGACAGTTCTTTTTTAAATTTTACTTTTAATTTTTATAGAGACAGGGTCATACTCTGTCATTCGGACTGGAGTACAGTAGCATGATCACAGCTCTCTGCAGCCTTGAACTCCTAGGCTCAAGGGATCCTCCTGCCTCAGCCTCCCCAGTGACTGGGTGGCTGGATAATTAAAATAAATTTTTTTTGTAGAGACAGGGTCTCATCATCTTGCCCAGGTTGGTCTCAAACTTCTGGCCTCAAGTGATTCTGCCACCTCAACATCCCAAAATGTGGGATTACAGGCGTGACATACTGTGAGACACTGCCTGTCAAGACAATTTTTTTTTTTTTGAGACAGGGTTCACTCTGTCACCCAGGCTGGAGTGTAGTGGTGCGATCTCAGCTCACTGCAACCTCCGGCTCCCGGGTTCAAGTGATTCTCTCACCTCAGCCTCCTGAGTAGCTGGGACTACAGATGTAAGCCTCATGCCCGGCTAATTTTTGTATTTTTGGTAGAGACGGGTTTCACCATGTTGGCCAGGCTGGTGACAAACTCCTGACCTCAAGTGATGCCCGCCTCAGTCTCCCAAAGTGCTGGGATTACAGGTGTGAGCCACAGCACACAGAAGGCAGTCTTAAATGTGCCGCTGGCTCAGCTCTTTGAAGGTTGGGCGTTTAGTAGATAAGGCAGACATGCTGGAACTGCCTCAGCAGAGTATTGAGGAAGGGGCCTGGGAACTCAAGGAGGCGGAAATGTTAGAAAGGCTCTGTGATGTGGGACTGCAGAACCCGCTGCCTGATTATGTTTCCTTGGAAGGTCCAGAGGACACTCTCTGCACTAAAGAAGTAAGGAGCAGAAAGGAGGCCACTAGCATCTTTGAGAAGCTCATCGCTGGCTGTCCTCTGTGGGTTGGGTAGACAGGCTTGACCTCAGCAGGCTGGAGGTACTACCACGGAACTAGGCTTTCTGGTTCTGATGAAAGTGATAAGATTCCAGAGGGACAGAGGCCAGGTGCGAACAGTGGCAAGGTACCTAAAATTACCATAATGGGATGCACAGCCAGAATACCTTATTTCACAGAAATCTGTGCTAATAATGCACAGATGGGATCTCGCCCTGGAGGTCCTATAGGTGAGACAGAAGGGCAGACAGTGTGTCACCTGACTTGCTTTGCCGGAAGAAACTGAGGGCAAGCAGAAGGTTGATGTCAACTGCTGGAGTGGAAAACGGCAGCTCCTCGCCCAGTTTCTAGATCTAAGTCAGTTACAGTCCAAAGTGTTGCTGAGTCACCTTGAAGGAGGATCCTGCAATGCCACTGTGAGTATTCCTCACTTTTCAAAGGGATCTGTGGCCATTTACCAGAGTAACTGGGAAAAGAAAAATTTACTCAGACTTTTCAAAGGCTATGGCTACAAGGTCTGAGCTGGCACTGATATGTGGGACCCCAAATGCTATCATGGGCTCAGGTTAGAATACCATTTCACAGTGGGCTTAACAGGTCCATGAATCCATTCTTGAGATTATTTCCACCACTTGAGAAGTGCAAAGTGGGATAGATATGCTTAGCATCGGCCGACCCTCACATTGGTTCTATGACCTGTAAAGTAAGAGCCAATATGGCAGAAAGATCCAGATAGAAGCTCCTGAAACCGCTCTTCCTCCCACAACACAATCCTGGTCAAAATAGTAAACCCGAAGCAAAACCGCATCCCAGGAGAAAATGGAGTGATGAGTACCACCATCAAAGACTTAGGAATGCAGAGGTGGTGATCCGCATCCTAACCCCCTCACCTCACCTGGTAGACTGCTATGAACTCAACCCAACTGTAGTTCCAATTGCAGAGATCGGGCTGGATATGCTATCTTTCCTGGAACTGATATACACAGGCTGTGGCACTTGACATGCAACTGTTGACTTGTTGAACATGTTCTTTCCAATTCTAATCAGGAAGTTAGCTTAAAAGCAGTTCACCTTTTGTGGGATGGACAGCAGTTCCCATTCACTGTCTTGCCTGAAGCCTAACTCTCCTGTGCTCTGTCACTATATAATCCACAAGGACCTTAATTGTCTTGATATTCCACTGAATATTATGCTGCTCCACTGTACTGATGACATCATGTTAACTGGATCTCCCAGTGAACAAAAATGGCAAGTACTCTGGATGTCCAATTAAGATATGTGTGTACCAGAGAGTGGGAGGAAACCCTCTGGGGAATGGCATATAAGTGATATTCTAGGAATTCAAAGGCCTGGGGCATGATGTGACATCTTTTTTTTTTTTTTTTTTTTTGGTCACAAGGCCTTGTTCTTTCCTCAAGGCTGGAGTGCAGTGGCATGATCATATCTCTCTGTAGCCTTCAATTCCTGAGCTCAAGTGAGCCTCCCACCTCAGCCTCCCAAATAGCTGTGACTACAGGTGGGCACCACCATGCCCTGCTGCCTCCTACTTAAAGGACAAATTGTTGCACCTTGTATCCCCTCCCATTTAAAAAATGGCATTGCTCTTGGTTGGTCTCTTTGGATTTTGGAGGCAGCAGATATAGCCCTTGGGCATTGCTCTGCCTAATTTACCAAGTGATTTAGAAGGCTGCTAACACTGACCCAGCACAAGAGGGAACTTTGCAGCAGGTCAAAGCTGCCCTACTACTGAGGCCATATGACTCGGCATACCCAGTTGTGTAGAGGTGTCTAGCTCCTGACATGTTGGGCCTATGTTCAGTACCTGAACATAGGACGTCAAGTGATTGAGTAACCCAGAGCTGCCCACTGTGTGCTGGATAATAGAGATCCACTGTCCGCTGTACTATGAAACACCTGGAATCAGGCTCCAGCAGGTCTGGAGGGAACAAGCAAGTGACAAACAGAGGTAGCCCATCCTCCCTAGTCACTGTGTTGCTGCCCTGTTGCCTTTCCTTCAGCTTACATGACTGAGGAACAAAGCCTCGTACCTGGCTCACAGGTCTCTTCTGTATTCCTCTCAAGACCCAGCACAGGCCAGTGATGTGCACAGTGGATGCTTGACCTGTTTTACTGACTAACACAGTCCGTGTGAAGTACTGTGAGAAAAGGAACGGTACAATTGTGACGAAAATGAAAAATAACACAGACACAGCCAAGAATAAATGCAGCAACCTAGTGACAGTTATCAAGTCAATTATTTCATTGGTTTTTACGGGTGATCACTTCTGTTGGTTTAAAAATTCTGTGTGGTTTTTTGTTTGTTTAGAGAAAGGATCTCAGTCTGCCACTCAGTCTGAAGTGCAGTGGTGCGATCATAGCTCACTGCAGCCTGGAACTCCTGGCTCAAGCTATCCTTCTGTTTCAGCCTCCCAAAGCGCTGAAATCACAGGAGTGAGCCACTGTGCCTGGCCGGTTTAGAACCTTTCATTATCCCAACAACAACAAAAATAGATATTTCAAAGGTTTTCAACCAGGCAATTTTACCCAAGAGTATTTTTACTAGAGGGACTTTAAGGTTAATAAGCAATAAAGAAAGTTAATAATTAGCAAGAAAATATGCTTGTGGAAAGGAAATCTGTGGCCTAAAATATCAATTCTGCCAAATAAAAAGGCAGATTAAAACATTTTTCAAAATTTAAAGTGAAAGACACAAGCTTTGCCCCTTTAAGAATGCTTCCTTTCAATTCATATAAAAATTACTACTCTTTCTCCCTCCCCCGCTCCCTGCCTCCTTCCTTCATTCCTCCCTCCCTCTCTTCTTTCTTCCTCCCCCCCTGCCTCTGTTCTCCCTCCCTCTGTTCCTTCCTTCCTTCCTTCTCTTCCTCTCTGTCTCTCTCTCTCTTTCTCTCTCTCTCTCTCGCTCTGTTGCCCAGGCTGGAGTGCCGTGGCTCAATCACATCACTGCAGCCTTGACCTCCCAGGCTTAGGTGATCGGTGATTCTCCCATCTCAGCCTCCTGAGTAGCTGGGACCACAGACGCACAAAACCATTCCTGGCTAATATTTGTATTTTTTTGTAGAGTCCAAGTTTCACCTTGTTGCCCAGGCTGGTCTGGAACTCCTGAGCTCAAGTGATCTGCCTGCTTTGATCTCCCAAAGTGTTAAGATTACAGGCGTAAGCCACCATGCCTGGCCAATAATTACTATGTTGGGGGCCCGCCCAGAAACAACCTAGAAAGTTACGAGGGTCAACGGAGACAAAGAAATTAAGAGACAAGAAAGAGTTAGAGTGCGTAAAGGTGGACTCCTAGGGGGCCGATGTGAGTAGGAGGATGCGAAGGCCCTGAGCACTGGAGACCCACACTATTTATTGAGTGTTTAAACAAATGTGTTCAGGAATGTGGAGGGTGAAAAGGAAGGGAAGCATCAAGCAGATGATCTATAGCTATGGCAGTTTGGTATTTCCTTTGAAGGTATAGAGCATGCTCTACTTTAGACACACTCAGTAAACAATCAGAGGAAAAGGCTGCAGCTAGAGCCAGGAAGTCTGGCCACATTCTGGTGCTTCAGAGAGCTCTTCCTTGCTTTGAGCACAGAGCATGGTCTTCCATTAACTCCCAACCTGTGCCAGATAAACAGGTCAGGTGTCAGCCTTTTATTCCCAACATTACTACCTTTTAGTGTAGTTTGGAGTCTTATAATTACGATATGTAATATACACTGTTGGCTAGGCGTGGTGGCTTACACCTGTAATCCCAGCACTTTGGGAGCCAAAGTGGGCGTATCACTTGAGGTCAGGAGTTCGAGACCAGCCTGGCCGATATGGTGAAACCCTGCCCCCACTACAAATATAAAAATTAGCTGGACATGGTGGTGTGCATCTAGCTACTCAGGAGACTGAGGCAGGAGAATCGCTTGAACCTGGGGGGAGGAGGTTGCAGTGAGCCGAGATCACGCCCCTGCACTCCAGCCTGGGCAATAGAGTGAGACCGTCCCCCCCCCAAAAAAAACATGCTGTCCACGTAGAAATTTTACAGGTTAGAAATAAAAATAAGTGGCAAAAAAGCAATAGCATAAAATACATATTTTATCAATGTGAATCATAAAAATCACTTATCTGCTTCGTCCTGCTCTGTGATATTTTGTTTTCTAGAGTCTACCGTGTGTGGCAGGGTGTGTGCAGCGGCAGCAGGACACCGAAAGACAGTGGTAAGTGCTTAATCTCCTCGCAGACTGGGAGTCTTTGAGAAGGTAACCAGCCAGCTTGTTGATTTCTGCTTCTGTTGTTCTTAAAGTATTTGTGTGGCAGCTTTATCACTTAGGAGTTCACCACACAGCAGGAATATCATCTTTCTGGATAAACACATCAAGACTAAGCCAAAAAGTCTTCTCATAAACAAACAAAATAGCCTGTTACTATTTGCAGTTAGTATATTATCTTGTAAAAATAAAATTAAACAGGTCTCCACTTGTTGAATAAATAGGGAGAGATCACGATAAGAGGACTGTTTGGTTTCTATCAGTGTGGGCAAAGGAATGCTCTGTTTTGTCTCCTATGCTGTTGACAACCAGTTTACACAAACTCCCAGCATCTAGGTATACATTAGTAATGAACATCATGGGCCAGATCTCTGCAAGTCTCTAATGAGAACATCTGCAGAGAATGAAAGCCATACCATCCCTCTGGCCCCAAACTGGCAGCTAATATGGCAAACATTTTCTGCAGATGTGTTTCACTTGGCCTGAATGATGTTTAAAATTCTTATAAATGACTTGTCAACATTTTAAGGTCAGGAGATTTCCTTCTCACTAAAAGGAACCACAGGTCTCTGGAGAAATGACTGATCCAGGATGAGCCTGGGACGTTCGGCTGTGCCACACAGTAAACAAGTGCTCAGAGAAGAGTGGGCATCTGTCAGGACACTGGAGCTAGATGGAAGGAGCCCCAGATGCTACATGCATAACAATTTCAGAGTCAAAAAGAATACTGACAGTGATGCTGTATAACATATTGAATTTCTTTTTTTTTTTTTTTTTTTTGATACAGAGTTTTGCTCTTATTGCCCAGGCTGGGTACAGTAGCATGATCTCAGCTCATGATAACCTCTGCCTCCCGGGTTCGAGCGATTCTGCTGCCTCAGCCTCCCGAGTAGCTGGGATCACAGGCGTGTGCCACCACGCCCAGCTAATTTTGTATTTTTAGTAGAGACGGCATTTCTCTATGTTGGTCAGGCAGGTCTCAAACTCCCAACCTCAGGTGATCCACCTGCCTCAGCCTCCCAAAGTGCTGGGATTACAGGCATGAGCCACCATGCCTGGCCAACATATTGAATTTTTAAAAATCCATGAATCCACAGTGATACTAAAAGCCTCGGTGGTGGGGAGAGGGAGAGGAAATCTCTTTTTTTACAGAAAAATGATAACTAATGAGTACAGAAAGAATTATAGGCTGGGTGCAGTGGCTCACGCCTGTAATCCCAGCACTTTGGGAGGCTGAGGCCATCAAATCATGAGGTCAGAAGTTTAATACCCGCCTGACCAACATGGTGAAACCCTGTCTCTACTAAAAATACAAAAATTAGCCAGGCAGGGTGGTGCACACCTGTAATGCCAGCTACTCAGGAGGCTGAGGCAGGAGAATTGCTTAAACCCAGGAGGCAGAGGTTGCAGTGAGCTGAGATCACACCACTGCACTCCAGCCTGGAGGGCAGGGTAAGACTCCATCTCAAAAAAAAAAAAAAAAAAAAAAAAAGAATTATAGAAAAATAACTGTTTTACAATAACTTTTAAATAATTGATTCAGGCAAGGATCATCAGTGATAAAAACTTTTGGGCGATGCCGGGCACAGTGGCTCACACCTGTAATCCCAGCACTTTAGGAGGATGAGGTGGGCAAATCACTTGAGGCCAAGAGTTCAAAGCCAGTTTGGCCACCATGATGGAACCCCAGCTCTACTAAAAATACAAAAATCAGCTGGGCATGGTGGCAGGCACCTATAATTCCAGCCACTCAGCAGACTGAAGCAGGAGAATTGCTTGAACCCGGGAGGTGGAGGTTGCAGTGAGCCAAGATCACACCACTGCACACTCCAGCCTGGGCGACAAAGCGAGACTCAGTCTCAAAAAAAAAAAAAGAAAACCAATGGGTGAAAGTTGTTGGGGAACAAGGTAGTCACAGTTTCAAAATATCACTCCACAGATAACTTATTAATTATAAAGGAGAAAATTATTTTTACAATTGAGAAATATGGCAGAACCATCTTAACCAGGAATTAAAACTGATAGCCTCCAATAAGGGGGCAAAAATGACATCATATACTTCCTGACGGGAGCTAGTGTGAAGGACACAGCTTCGCCCATGCAGTGTTCTTACTGAAGACATTTAACCTGTATCGAATCATGTGGAAACAGCCGGTTAGTCTACGTCGAGGCACATTTGCAAAACAGAGGGACTGGACTTTTCAAAAATGTTGGTATCATGAAAGATGAAATAAGAGAATAAAGAAGGTAGAAACGTCTTTCAGATTAAAGGGACTAAAGAGTCATGCAATGTACAGTGACTGAACAGATCCTGGATTTTAAAAATAACTACATACATTTATAGATATGATTAGTTACATATAGTTATATAACAATTATTGGAACAATATGAGAAATTTGAACATAGACCATATATTAGATAATAGGATTGAGACAATGATAAATTTATTGAGTATAGAAATCATAATGTGATTATGTAGAAGAATGTGTTTGTTTCAGGAGATTAATGCTGAATATTTAGGTAGATGGCTCAGCCAAAAAAGTGTGTGTGTGTGTGTGTGTGTGTGTGTGAGAGAGAGAGAGAGAGAGAGAGATAGAGGCAGGAACAGAGATAACGGAAGTGCAGGCACAGTGGCTCATGCAAGTAATCCCAGGGCATTGGGAGGCTGAAGTGAGAAGATTGCTTAAGGCCAGGAGTTTGAGACCAGCCTGGGCAACATAGTAAAATCCTATCTCTAAAAAAAATATAAAAAATTAGCCAGGCACTATGGCTCACACACCTGTAACGCCAGCAACTCAGGAGGCTGAGGCAGAAGGATCACTTGAGCCCAGGATTTCGAGAATACAGTGAGCCATGATTGTGCCATGGCACTCCAGACTGGCCAATAGAGTGAGACCCTGTCTCTAAAAAGGAAGAATGAAGAAAAGAAAGAAAGGATATGGAGCAAAATTCTAACAGCTGATGAACTAATCTAGCCAAGGATATGCAGGTATTCATGGTACTCTTCTCTCCACTTCTGTATATTTTGATTTTTTCTCAGAATAAGCGGTTGTAGGAAAATCCCCAGGACACTTGACATGAAATTCTGATTTCCAGATTTTTAAAAAAGACTCTAGCTGGGGCTTGGCGCGGTGGCTCATGCCTGTAATCCCAGCACTTTGGGAGGCCGAGGCGGGTGGATCACGAGGTCAAGAGATCAAGACCATCCTGGTCAACATGGTGAAACCCCGTCTCTACTAAAACTACAAAAAATTAGCTGGGCATGGTGGCGCGTGCCTGTAATCCCAGCTACTCAGGAGGCTGAAGCAGGAGAATTGCCTGAACCCAGGAGGCGGAGGTTGCGGTGAGCCGAGATCGCGCCATTGCACTCCAGCCTGGGTAACAAGAGTGAAACTCTGTCTCAAAAAAAAAAAAAAAAAAAAAAGACTCTAGCTGGACATGAGGAGTCATACCCATAATCCCAGCACTTTGGGAGGCCGAGGCAAGAGGACTGCTTGAGTGCAGGAGATTGAGACCAGCCTGGGAAACATGGAGAAACTCCATCTCTACAAAGAATTAGCCTGGTGTGGTGATGCACTCCTGTAGTCCCAGCTATTCAGGAGGCTGAGGTGGGAGGATCACCTGAGCCCTGGAGACTGAGGCTGCAGTGAGCCATCACTGTACCACTGCACTCCAGCCTGGGCAACGGAGTGAGACCCTGTCTTTTTAAAAAAAAAAAAAAAAAAAAAAAAAAAAAGGCAGAGGGTAGCGCGGTGACTCACACCTGTAATCCCAGCACTTTGGGAGGCTGAGGCAGGTGGATCACCTGAAGTCAGGAGTTTGCAACCAGCCTGGCTGACATGGTGAACCCCTGTCCCTACTAAAAATACAAAATATTAGCCAGGC